TCATTTGTTACTGGATGCCTGCCCTCTGACTGGAAGTCCGCTACCATCACTCCGCTTTTTAAGGGTGGAAGTCGTGCGTCTGCGAATAACTACAGGCCAGTGAGTCTTACCTCCATCTGTTGCAAAATCATGGAGAAGATCATTAAGAAGGCCTTGGTGCAGTTCCTCGAGCAGCACCATCTCCTTTCTGATGCCCAACACGGCTTTCGAAGTGGAAGGTCCTGCCTCACGAATCTGCTCTTTACGCTCGAACGCTGGACCAAAGCACGTGATGAAGGCAAGGTGGTGCACGCCATCTACATCGACTTCAAAAAGGCTTTCGACAGCGTTCCTCATCAACGTCTCTTGTACAAACGGCGGAACGCTGGAATTCGTGGACGCCTTCTTGTATGGATCCAGAGCTTTTTGGCTGGACGGTCCCAGAGAGTGCAGGTCGGGCGTCAACAGTCCTCAGATGTAAGCGTGGTGAGTGGCGTCCCACAGGGCTCAGTCTTAGGTCCCACGTTATTCCTCGTTTTCGTAAATGACTGCGTCAAGGACCTAGACTGTGATGCCATCCTGTTTGCCGACGACATAAAATTGTGGAAAGTTATTCACGATGCGGCAGACGCAGACCACCTGCAAGCAAACTTGAACAGGCTCGAAGACTGGTCGAAGCGCTGGCTTATGCCCTTCAATATAAGCAAGTGTAACTTTCTTCAACTCGGCGGCTTCAGAGCCCCCAGCCCCAGGACCTACTTTCTAAACGGCACACCACTGCAACAGGTTGACAGTCAGAAGGACCTGGGTGTATGGATTACATCTTCACTCAAACCAACACTGCACTGCGCGAAGGCGGCTAAATCGGCTACGGCCACATTGCAACTCATTAGGCGAGCATTTATGGGTTTTGACACTGACTGCTTTTCCAAAATATTTGGCACCTTCGTGCGACCTCATCTAGAATACGCCATACAGGCGTGGAGACCCTGGACTGCCAAGGATTATACCGTCTTGGAGAAGGTCCAGAGACGGGCGACCAAAATGACACAAGGTCTGGGAGCACTACCCTATGAAACCAGACTGTCAATCCTCAACCTCTCTCCCCTTTCCTACAGGCAATTACGTGGTGACCTTATACTAACATTTCGCATCATCAACGGCCTAGACTGTTGTTTAGATCCCACTGATTATTTCACCCAAGCTAACACGCCCAATTTGCGCGGTCATCCCTTAAAACTACGCGCAGGGAAATCAAGAACCAATGGACGAAAGTCCTTTTTCAGTAACAGAGTGGTTTCAGCCTGGAATTCCCTACCTACCGATGTTGTAACCTCCTCCTGTGTGAACTCCTTCAAGTGTAGACTTGACCTGCATCAAGCTTCCCAATTACCACCCCCACATCCACTCACATAACCCGGTACCATATTTTATGTGTTTATACTATTTGTAATTAGTAAGTAACCATTAATGATTACTCTTTTTCGGCTAGCTGCCAGCTGTCCGCGAGTATGTACAAAATCCCTTTTTCACCTTCCCATTTATCAATGTTTTTCTCCGACGACTTGTAACCAAGAGGGAATTCAAAGGCACTTGCCTATATTTCCCTTAATAAACTGATACTGATACTGATACTGATACTAAAGTCAGATAGGGGGAGGCAAATTGATGTGGCGGTTGACAGAGCGGTAAATGGACATCCAGGCTTCTTGCACTTGCCTTGCTGTGTGATCGCCTTCCCGGCCCACAATCTCAACGGCGTCAAAGTTGAAGATGTGTCCAATTTGCGCGTAATGGGTTGCTACCTCCGACTTTGGGTCCAACCTTCGCACGGCCAACTTATGCTCGTGCATTCGCGTTTGCAGCCGTTGGCCGGTTTCCCCAACGTAGTTGCACCTTCCGCAGCTGCATTGAAGTCGGTAGACAACGGCCGACATCGCCTGCTTAGGGAATGGATCTTTTGGCCGCATCAAGTTGTAGCGTATTTATCACAAGTGGTCCATTACAAGCCCAGCATAAACTCAGCGCCTGTGGACAGCTTGTCGCCCTCCCTGACAATCACTACCTCCAGCGTCAATGTCTCCAAACTAGAACCATCACAAGTCATTCTTCGAAAGGGAGAAGAGTCCGTCAACGTTTAAACGAATAGATAGTAGTCATTTGAAAAGCATAAACCAGATAGTCAAACAGCACGCAAACCGCCAATCACAGTCCTTATTCAAGTCCAAATTGCAATCCCTACACCAATTGTACAAAGCAGATACTCAGGGCAGAAGGGTTGAACGCAAATGCACTGCCAGTTGTTAGATTCTCCAAACTCTGTCGGAATTAGATTTGTGGCTGTTCTCATGTTTGCGACAGAATACCTTCGGCAAAGACATCCGGCACAAGCTGTAGTCATTAGTTTTTGCACATACATATATGGAGGATCACGCATTTGAAATATCCTAGAAACCTTTATCATTATCGATTTAAATTCTATAAGAGCCAAAGAGCGCTGATTGTGCACGTTTCCGAGGCTGGCGCAACAGCTCCTAATCAGAATTATTAACGATGCAAAACAATCAGCAAGAGGCTGACTCTGCTAAAAACACCATTCTAATTTTGACGGACGTTTGTAAAACCGTGCCTCAAATTCAACACTTTTTCGTTTTTTTACTACGCTCCGTTTGCAATGGAGTGTTTTGAATGCGGCTTACATGTTGGCCTGCCAGTAATACACGTCTCATTGTAGCGCACTGCGAGGAGGGATGATTGCGCCATCTCCAGGGCGCAGACGGCATTATGACAATTTTCTCTCATTTATCACGTGCATGGGAGCATGGGATTGATGGGCTCACTTTTTTCCCGCTATTTTCTGTTTACTGATGTCTCGTGGAGCAGATTTTCAAGTTTGACCAAAATAGGCAATGCTGCAGCTGACACAGGGTATTTTATAAATCGCCACTTTTCTATCGAAATAAACCATCTTTTCGTTTGGATCAAGGCAGTTGCGTTTGGCCCAAGCCGTGCTATTCTGGCTTTTATCTCTCTGACAACGAAACATTTAGAAACTTTTTTTCAAAACCGAATTATGCTTCTCGTTCGAGCATAAAATTAAAAGAAGACGTAATTTTCTACCGAATGAGCAAAATAATGAATATTTTTATGCGTTTTCCATGAAATATAAATCTACTTTTAGGGGCATCGAAAATCAGTTCGAAAAATCCCTGCTAGATAGATAGTCATTTTTAGAGAGTACTGTCTTTGCAGGCAGCCGGATGGAAGTCTCCTGGAAAGCCGACGTCCTGAGGTAACCGAATAATTATAGAATTATGCTGCAGGCTGACTAGTTTTCCAACCCTCTTTAATTAATATTTTCGAAATGAAAAGATCGTCTATTGTTTGAATTTGATATCGAAGTTGCGCATTTATGCAAATACGTCTTTCTCTGTATCTTATAGTTTGTCGCCCAATGTTAGGCTGATGTATTTATTAAGATAGCTATTTCAAAAAGGGATGTCTTATCTGCTTCTTCTTTTCTACGCCGATTCATACATTCCCATCTCGTTTAATCGACATTAAACCTGTCACAATGCCGGCGACATACGGATGAATTTATTTTTTATAATGACGGCTGCGTACGCTTGCTTAGGATTAGCTGATGTAAAAACTGGTTTACCATTCTTACGATGTACGAGAAAATTGAGGAATAGAAGTTGTTTACCAGCCTTCGTTCCAAAAGTTAAGTAAAATAAATGAAACAGTGTTAGACATGATACTGAGCAGTTTTAATAATGTTTTTAACGACAGCAGCTAAGTCCTTCTAATCCTGAAGCCGTAATTGTGGGTTGTTTTTAACATAAGCAACATCTGATGAAGGAAACCATACGTTTGCCTTCCTGTTGCCGAGTTAGACAATGTAAACTGCGACGGACTCAAAATGCCTGGATCTCGCTTTCAATCAAGTGTAAGTGATACACTCAGAAATAATTTTGTAGAAATAGTCCGCACTTGGAAGCAGCACTTTGCCGGCGACGGTGGACCGACACATATTTCCAACTCAATCCTCTACCTAAAAACTGCATAGTAATTGAAAAATGTCGAATTCATCATTGTTTTGATTAGCGACGAATGATATTTTACCATAAATATTCAGATGACAAGATACCCGGACCCAGTACCTTTCACAAATCCAGCAGTCCACTGTAAAATACGGGCTCCCTAACCAATGTACCGCAGTGCTAATTGCGCTTGAGTACTGTGGGTGGGTTAACTCATGAAATGTCAACCGAAATTCTGAAATGCGTTTTTGTTGCCATAACAGTAATTAAGTAGAGCTGTAAAAATAAGTCAGCCTTCAACATACTTCTATAATACGTCAGTTACCGCAGGATGCCGGCTTTATAATAAACTTCCTTTCGACTGCATGCTAAAATCATACTCTGTAAAAATGACTACTTAATTAGCATGCATTTTCTCATTGGTTTTCAATAACCCTAAAATTCCAATTATATTTTATGGAAAACGCGTATAATAAACTTATTCTTTCGCTCATTCGGTAAATAATCTCTCCTTCTTCCAATCTTTTTCTCGAAAGATGGGTATAATTCCGTTTTCAAAAACATTTCCAATGCCCGAATAATGTTTTTCCCGCTCTACCGTTACACTTGGATTCAGGGTTTCCAAACTACAAGCCCTATATTTTTCGCGTACGGAAAGCCACACATTTCTCTACGGTAATAGGGGGGAACCATATAGGGTTCATAAAATTAAGCAGTGTATTTGATTCCTATTTTAAACTTTACAAACAACTTTGGTAAATGCAGAGATAGGACGATTTATGAACGAGAATTTAACTGTACTTAGAAATCCCACATTTAGAAACTTAATTCAAAACCAAATTATGCTTCTCGTTCGAGCATAGAAGAAGAAGAAGACGTAATTTTCTACCGAATGAGCAAAATAATGAATATTTTATGCGTTTTCTGTGAAATATAATTCTACTTTTAGGGGCATCGAAAATCAGTAAGAAAAATTCCTGCTAAACAGATAGTCATTTTTAGAGAGTATAGTCTTTGCATGCAGCCGGAAGGAAGTCTCTTAGAAAACCGACGTACTGAGGTAACCGAATAATTATAGAATTATGTTGCAGGCTGACTAGTTTTCCAACCCTCCTTAATTAATATTCTCGAAACGAAAACGCATTTCGTAATATCGTTTGAAATTTCATGAGTTAGCCCAACTACTATTAGTTTAATTTGAGTTCACAAATCAGTCATAAGAAGAAATGAATGTTTGGGAGTAAAAAGTCTCCTTGGCGCTTAATATTCATTATTAGTTACTGTCATCACGCTAGTCACGAATGTTTCAGGATGACTGTTGGCCCAGCAACGCTAACTAGAATGACTTGTTGCAGCAAGATTTGCATCGTTATCGGGACATTTTCAGCAGTGTGAGAAAAATACGAAGAAGAAGACGAATAGTTCGACTTATTCAGCTCCGATGCCTGTAGCGTATTTTAGCCATCGGTGTTTTGCGATCGCAACCGACAGAACAAAGAGCCCGCTGATCAGAGGTTAGCAACATTGAACTTCTAACTAATCGTTCGCGGGATCAGTCTCCACGTGTTCCACTCTTCGTGGTTGTGTATGACTGGCTGACTACGGCTCGTTAGCCAGAAATGGCTCCGCATGGCCCCGCTCGCCTATGTCATTGGCTCTGTCCGAATTGTTTCAAGCCTTGTGCGTAGAGCTTAGTAGGCGGGGGCTAGTTTATGTGTGCCAGTCCAGGAACAGCACTCGAGTACCAGTCTAAATGGCTGGCTACCCTCACATACTCAGAGGCGAGAATGAGGTTCAGTGTCGACAGTGGCCATAGAACGGACTTAGGATACTCTCGTGGTTCACTACAAGCTGGTGTTTGCGCAATCCTGCACCGAGGCGATTTCCCGTTGCCATGTTGCTAATGTCGCATGGTATGTTGTAGTTTTCTTATGGCTGTTCTGTACCTGGTGGGCCGCGTCGTTTGGCCGTCTGACTTTCTGTCTGATTTTGGACACCGCTTTATGAGCCACCCAAATTGCAAACGGTTTCTGCAATCTTCTCGTTGCCCCTGAATTTCTTCACTTACAGCCCACACCTGAGACACCTGCATGTGGAAAGTTCCAGATTTCTATTGACTTTAAACGATGGCTGTGGCAAACTTCGGTCCGCCAGAAAGAATACCGATCACATCTCAAATAGGAAGGACGTTGGTATCCGCCCCACAGTCCCCACCGTCGATCTTTGCCAAAGTTTCACTTTAATCGAACCAGCCATAGCAATTAACGTCTGCTGTTTGCCCTCATAATACCTGACAGATGAGCAAAACCGTGTAAGCCTTGAAAGTTTAGTGTCTGGCTCAGTTAACGCTCATTATCTCAGAGGCCTTGGGCTAGTCATTTCAAAAGACTCGCCCTTTGTGTAAAGACATGAGAGGTTTTGTGGGGGACCATGTCGTGTGCGAGGCGCGCATTCGAGTTGTGTTAGCCATGTCAGAATTTATTTGGTTGACAGACTCAAAAAATTGACTGATTGAGGTTAAAGGCAAGAAAATCAGTGAGATCGGTTCTGGTGATAGTATGCCCATGACATCTCAGCGCATTCTGCAATATAACAAATCTGATGCTCTTGAACCAACCAGAAAGCACTATGCATCGTGAACTAGGAGGCTGTCGACTCACGAGATAACCTGTTCCTCCCAGGACGGAGGGTCGGGCTTCAATTTTTCCTTCGTAGGGTGGCCTCCATGTCCTTTGCGCCAAAATGAGATCCGAGTCGTCCCTTTGTTGTTTTCGTGAAGATCTGGTTCATCCTATGCATGCGGGGCGTGTGTGGCACGCATGGAGGGACTGCACAGTCCTGTTATCCACTGCGTCCGATACTGCATTCAGTCTTCTTGACTGTGTGAAACCGGAATCAGGTAGGTAAGAGAAGAGGGTGTGTGTAAGACGCTGCGCAATCCTACCACCATGCTAAACTAATTCACGCTTACATCACCGTCCCAATCCCCGACATACTCAAAGACACCCGGTAAACATGGCCGTTAGCAACGGTCGAGTTATCATGTGCATTCCGTTGATTTTTAAGCGTAAAAAACAACTGCATCTGCATCTGACAAGTGACATTTTTAAATAGCAGAGGATATCGGTTGAAGTGTAGGCTTTATAATACTACAAGCGAACGACTACGACATACGAAAACAAATATTTCATCTATCAAGAATGCATTTGCCTTAATGCTGCACTGCAGAAAGGTAGCCGAGTCTGCAATGTCAGTTCCCTACCTCGTCAAGCGGGCTTTCTCGGCCTTTGATGAGGACTGCTTTGCTAAGGTCTTTCAAACGTTTGTGCGGCCGCAATCGGAATTTTCTATCCAAGCTTGGAGACCCTGGATAGCGAAGGACCTCTGCATCCTTGAAATGGTTCAAAGGCGGGCAACGCAACTTATGACAGGACGGTGTTCACTACCATGTGCAACGCGCTTAGCTAACCTTGATATAGTTACTTTGAGTTACAGGCAGTCACGGGGTGACCTGATAAAAACCTTCTGTATTATACGCGGTCAGGACTGCAGCATCGTCCCGGGGGATTTCTTAGAGCTAGGAACCACCAAAAACCTACGAGGTCATCCATTCAAGTTACGTGTGACGGGGGCCAGGCTGGACACACGAATGTTCTTGCTATACGCTTACTGACATGCACCTATGCTACTTTTACAATTAGATATACTGTTTATTTCCTTGCACTCTAAACGATCAATGTACTACTGCTCGTATCAACAGCACTCGAGACAGTTTGCTTATCTGTACAGATCTGAGGCTTTTTCGATTATTTGTTACCTTTATGTTACCTTTCCCTGTTTTTTTAGATTTTTCAGTTGCTTGTAAACAAGTAGGGAGTTCAAAGGTGAAGACCTCCATTTCCCTCAATAAAAGTGAACTGACCTGAACTTAAAAGGTTTTTGTGTGCCAGACGCCCAGCTTTAGTGAAACGCAGCTACCACTTTTGGTCTCAGCATGCTCTGACCAACTCCCCTTAAAATTTGAAGCATTTTGTCCCCGGTACGAAGCTGAAGTAGGCAAGAACAGCAGGATTTATTGGCACCAAAAAATTTCGCGACTGCTCTTCAGCTGCTTCCTGTCGCTTCATAAGAGGGATAACGAGTGAGAACAATACAACAGATTTGAATTCATGCAGAAAATCGATGCAGAAACAGCAAGGTTAGGGTTTTGGGCAAAGTTGGCTAATCGATAAAGTTAATAACACAAGCGTTTCCTTCTTTTTCACTTTCTTCCCCTACGGCGTTTGTGTTATTAACTTTATCGATTAGCCAACTTTGCCCAACACCCTAACCTTGCTGTTTCTGCATCGATTTTCTGCATGAATTCAAATCTGTTGTATTGTTCTCACTCGTTATCCCTCTTATGAAGCGACAGGAAGCAGCTGAAGAGCAGTCGCGAAATTTTTTGGTGCCAATAAATCCTGCTGTTCTTGCCTACTTCAACTCCCCTTAGTTCAGGCAGCACTGCATGCCAAATCTGAGCCCCTATAAAAAGTGTTATCTGCTTGCTTGATTCTCCGCACACCTGCCAGACAGGTTCTGATTTGGCTAGCTACACAAACGATGCTCTCTAGCCGGGTACTTTGATGTTAATGGCTGGGGAGACGGAGTCCTTGGTCGATGAATTTGGCACCTTCTTCTATCACGCTTTAAGTACCCATCTTGTCTCCAAGTGGCGATGGAGGATCGGCTTGCATGGACCTCACACTCCGCACGTGCCGAGAGCTTAAAACTAACACAAAACTGAGTAAACAGGCATACTGTTTTCAAAAAAAAAAACTCGCTGAATGCGAGAATTCTGCGATATAAAAGCAGAAATCAGTTTTCACAGCTCAGCACATCCTCCCTACCTCCAGTGTTCACACATGAAGCGCCCTCTTGCCGGAGCGATTTCCTACATTCTACTTAACGCCATCGTCAATGGTTTGTGCATTTTGATGGTTATTTACATGCAGTGCTATGTCTGTCTTCATTAGGAAACCACATACTGTATTCTAAGAATAGATACCAGCATTGAATAATCTACACATTCACTAATACGTTTGAGTGTAGTCAAACACGGGTTGGTCGGGGCAAGCAGGCATGGCGCGAATTTTGCCTGCGGTTACTTTAAGAGCTTTTGCGAAAATAAAGTTAGCTTATAGAATGCTTTTTTTCTTAATTTCTAATTCTCAGTAAACAGATGCTGAAAACACAGATGTTTCAAATCACACACATATAACCCCATGACGTGTAGAAAACCATAAGCTAATGGAATTAAACAACCAAGACTCCAAAATATTCGGCAAATAACTTAAAATACTAAGGAGGCATTGCCATAAAATTTCTATGACATTATGACGTGTATTGGTGATCTCTAAGTTAACAAATGCACTCAGGCCTATTTACTTGCTCAGAAGTAAATGCTTTGCACGTCCAATCTCTCTGAATACATTTGCTGAGCACCGTCAATTGGAGAGTTAACGCAGGTCAGAGCAAGCATAGGAATACAGTAATCTCAGGAAGCTAGGCTGATGTTTGGCTTTTTATGTAAGACAAACTAGCGCTAATGCTTTTTGTAAAATAAGAATTAAATTAAAATACGTCTCCGCAGGTATGGTGAAAGCTATCGAAATCGAGCGTGGTTTTCCGACTGCCTGTGGGGTTTCTGCGATTCAAGGGAAGCTCAGAGTGGAAGCCGCTAGAATGAAAATCCGCCCAACGCCCCACAGCTGGCCGTGGCACGTAAGCAACGGACGATTAATTAATAAGTATATTTATTAATAAAAACCTAAAAAGTAAAAGCCAAGTATAGTCTGATAACATATGTCTTTTAATTGACTTGATCCGTTCATTTAACATAATATCTGTATATGAGAGCACTAAATTGATACACCATTCAGCGGACAGTGACAAAGACCATCAATCTTTGTAAGTCAATCATTCGCGAAGTTAGTGAATTCAACTTAATAAGAACGTGATTCAAGGGGAATATTACGTCCCGTTTCTAACTGCTGCTTCATGACTTGAAGTCTCGCAAAACCCTATATACTTGGATCGCGGTATAAAATTTTCACAAATTATTCACTGACTATTTCAGTCTCCTAGAATTGTCATATGGCTTAGTAACTCAGCGTGACGTATTGCACTGGCGGGCTTTTCATTATATTTATCATCAATGGTTTTGATTAAGAGTTAAAAAATGGTAGAAGTCTTCTAAAAATGACAGCGTTTGTCACAGAGCTTCGTTCATTTACCGGTGCGAAATGAATGCAGAATAGCCAAAAGTCTGACCTTAAGTAGCGCAAGCGTAATTATTCATAAACGCGAGTTAAAATAAGGTTTCAAATGCTCACGCACGGATGACAATCTTAGACCTTCAATAGTCATTCCAAGCCATTTTTAAAAACACCACGCTAGAGGTTTATCTTCACGTTAGAGCAAAGATACACCACGTTTGCAGATTTAATTCAAGGATATCTGGGTGCTACGCAGCAAATCTGACCCATTCAATTTAAATTTCTGTCAATTTTCTTTTTTTTAAGGTGGGCCTATGGTCGCGAGTTTATGGTGATCGGCCCTACTGTGGAGGAACACTGATCAGTCGCTCTCTCGTCCTCACTGCGGCACATTGCGTTAAAAATGTCATTGGTTGCAGATATAACCCATTTGACGGTCTGATCGACATGACCATTACGTCCGAGTACCCGCTTTTTGTGTTGATTGGTGCTCATGATTTCACGCAAGCTGATCTTTCTCGCCAATTGCGGCGCGTGCAGTACGTAGCCATTCACCCGAAATACAATGCAACCTTGAATTTTAGTGGCTACGACATCGCGATATTAAAGTTATTCGAGCCAATTATTCCAGGTAACCCGTTGCAATACTGGCGTGAAATTTTGCTAAATTTATTATCATCTGCTGTGCAAGTAGTATCGCTATAATGCTCCTGCTTTAATCATGTATAAATTTTTCAATATCAACAGTGATTTTTGTTCATAGGTTGAAATATGGCTAAGCCTGTCGCCGTCATCGTCTTCCTCCTTTTCTTTTTACCATTTACCATTCGCGTAAATTTCGATGCGCTCTAGTCAACATCTTTCTCGAACTTCTATGAAGATCACAACATTTCATATCTGTCAGCACAATTTTCCCTTTAACTTGTCAAGAGGAGCGTGTATCGGTGCTTTGCTTCCCGAGCGGAGGCGTCGAGCTGCCACTGGGCTTCCCCTGCTACTACGTCGGTTGGGGAAGTATGATTACGCCCTGGTCGAATGGAGAAAGAAGATTTCCGAAGACGCTGAGGGAGGCCATAGTAAAAATAGAGTCGGATGAACGTTGCCAGGAGCACTATGGCCATAACTTTGCTGACAGTACTTCATGCGTGCTAGCAACAGGCCAGGTAATTCATGGAACTTTACAAATGCTGACACCGGTTTTAACACTTTATTGGCAAAATACAGTAATGCTTAATTCATATGAATAGTATTTGTTTTCAGTATAGCATTAGGGACAAAGAAAAGGGACACTGGGATGGCCAGTTCTGTCTTATCATTCCTCATGATCCCGCCATACGTGACAGGACGCTTGCAATTGTAAAGCCTGTAATCGGCGTCGTGTTGAATAGAAGTACAAAGTTCGTTGTCCTGTAGGTAACGATCGGGTGTAAACAATGTTAGGAGGATGCGCATCGGTCATGTTACGAAACATACGCTTCCCATCGTGCCTTTTCGTTCGAGCGTTTAGGGTATGGCCGACGTACTACAATGTCGGTAATACCATTCTATCTATATATAATGAAATAGTACCGACAAATACAAGGGCTTACTAGTCGTCGCCAGCCGGTCATACCTAGCCCCAAGCATGGATCACTGAAGATTCGAACTCGGGATCTTTGGTTATATCGTTTGACACTCTACCACTGAGCCATGGGCCCGTTGCCCTGCCGATTGTGGTCGGGAATATCAATTATGGCAGATAAGTGTACACCGATCAGGTTACGAAACATGCTCGTTCTGTCATGCTTTGGGGCTCTTACTGGAACCCTGGCAGACAGCCGCGCAGCGACTATTAGTAAACGTCAAGCGATAGTACCGACAAAGACATAAATGGCCATTTCAATCAACATTGTCTTTGTCGGTACTATCTCAGTACATTTACTACTATTCGCTGTGCGACTGCCTGCTAGGTTTCTATTATGAGCACAAATCACCATTTCAATATATATATATATATATATAAATATATATATAATATTTCGTATCACAACCGACAGGACAACGGGCCCGTGGCGTAATTGTAGAGCGTTAAACTCCATGACCAAATATGCCGGGTTCGAATCTTAAGTCATCGAAACTTGGGGTTGGGTATGACTGGTTGATGAAGGCTAAGAAGCCCGAAATGGCCATTCCGGTCTCCCTTGTATTTGTCGGTACTACTTGATTTACGTCATATATGTGGATCACTTGAAATTCGAACCCGTATGACTAGCTGATGACGGCTAATAAGCCAGAAATGGCCATTCCGGTCTCACTTATTTTTGTCGGTATCACCTTATCAACATATATCACTAGTCGCTGTGCGACTGCCTGCGAGGGTTTAAGTATGAGCCCCAAGGCACAACAGAACGAGCATGTTCTGTAACCTGATCGGTGAGCGCCCATCTGTCATATATATATATATATATATATCAAGTGAATAATTTGAGAAATTACTCGGTGCAGGACATGGAGTTAAATCTCCGGGACATGGCTTTTTAGGGTCAGAACCGAACTTTCAATAAACATTCAAATCAAAGACAATCAACTACTGTGAAATCACCACGTAATGCCCATTCTACAAACAAGTAGTGCTACGAAAAGTGTGAAATTCATATGGTAAAGGTATTATACCGTACTCCCAAAACAGATACTTGCTAAAAGACCAGACACGTGTTTAGCCGATATTCTGCCCCGCGTGACACAGCTGCGAGGTGTTCGGCTCTTCGGTGGGACACCCAGCGTTCTCTAGCGGTTTCCGGTATATGAACTCCAGAGAATAATCAGGTGAATAAGTTCAGGAATTAATCAGTGCAGAACTTGGAGTTAAATCTCCGGGACATGACTTTTTAGGGTCAGAACCGAAATTTCAATGAACATTTGAGTCGAAGATAATCAACTACTGTGAAATAACCACGTAATGCCCATTCTACAAACAAGTAGTACTAAGAGTAGTATGAAGTCCATATGGTAAAGGTATTATACCGTACTCCCGATGTAGATACTTGCTAAAAGCCCAGACACGTGCGTCGCCGATATTCTGCCGCTGCGTGACACAGCTGTGAGAGGTTCGGCTCTTCAATGGGACCCCCAGCGTTCTCTAGCAGTCATGGCCCGGAGATTTAACTCCAAGTTCTGCACTGATTAATTTCTGAATTTATTCACCTGATTATTCTCTGGAGTTCATAAACCGGAAACCGCTAGATAACGCTGGGGGTCCTACTGAGAAGCCAAATACATCGCAGCTGTGTCACGCAGGGCAGAATATCGGTGAAACACGTGTCTGGGCTTTTAGCAAGTATCTGTTTTGGGAGTGCGCTATAATACCTTTACTTTATGGAAATCATACTACTCGTAGCACTACTTATTTGTAGAATGGGCATTACGTGGTTATTCCAAGGTAGTTGATTGTCTTCGATTTGAATGTTCAATGAAATTTTGGTTCTGACCCTTAAAAGTCATGTCTGGTAGATTTAACTCCAAGTTCTGCACTAATTAATTTCTGAAATTATTCACCTAATATACATATATATATATATATATATATATATCAATCAGGAATGGGCGCACACCGATCTATTGGCTTCACAAAGCAAACAAGCTCCGTATGTGTGGCAAAGGTCACGAACAGGCAACCAATTACCAGGCCGAAGTCGGCCAAGTCATAATAGCAGCGAGGAGGGACGACAGAGAATGCGGGTAGATTGATACAGCACTGTTTCGGGCTTATTCTGCCTTCATTCAGCCAATCATAACCCTGACCACCAGCAGCTGAGACCAGAAACACAAACATGCGCACAGACGCACCTGGCGCAGTCGGTCCACCACTGAGGCCTACCAGATGGGTCATAAGCACTTCATCGAACCGAAGTTCATCAGTGCCTCGCCACCTGTCATTCTCTGTCGCTGCAGATCGGGTATTTATCAATCAGGAATGGGCGCACACCGATCTATTGGCTTCACAAAGCAAACAAGCTCCGTATGTGTGGCAGAATAAGCCCGAAACAGTGCTGTATCAATCTACCCGCATTCTCTGTCGTCCCTCCTCGCTGATATATATATATATATAGATAATGTTAGGGGGCTCTCACCGATCGTTCATACGGAACTCACTCGTTCCGTTGTGCCTTTATGGACTCACTCTCGAGCCCAACCAGCAGCCGCACAGCGGCGCATGATATATAGGCAGAATAGTATTACCGACAAAGACAAGGGAGACTGGAATGGCCATTTCTGGCTTATTAGCCGTCGTCAGCCAGCCATACCCAAGCCCGAAGTGTGGAACACCCGAGCCTCGAACTCGCGACCTCTTGGTTTAGAAGTCAACGCCTCTACTCACCGGGCCACTAGCCCGTTGCCCTGTCGGTTTTCGATCGAGAATATACAATGTTAGGGGGCGCTCACCGATCGTTCATACGGAACTCACTCGTTCCGTTGTGCCTTATGGACTCTCTCTCGAGCCCAACCAGCAGCCGCACTGCGGCGCATGATATACAGGCAGAATAGAATTACCGACAAAGACAAGGGAGACTGGAATGGCCATTTCTGGCTTATTAGCCGTCGTCAGCCAGCCATACCCAAGCCCGAAGTGTGGAACACCCGAGCCTCGAACTCGCAACCTGTTGGTTTAGAAGTCAACGCCTCTACTCACCGGGCCACGAGCCCGTTGCCCTGTCGGTTTTCGATCGGGAATATACAATGTTAGGGGGCGCTCACCGATCGTTCATACGGAACTCACTCGTTCCGTTGTGCCTTAAGGGATCTCTCTCGAGCCCAACCAGCAGCCGCACAGCGGCGCATGATATACAAGCAGAATGGAATTACAGACTCCTTTCCAGTCTCCCTTGTCTTTGTCGGTAATTCCATTCTGCCCATATATATATATACATCAAAAGAAGAGGAGGCGTTCACCGGGAGAGGTGTATTTGAGGTCTGACGTTTCGGGTAGTCGTTTCTTCTACCCATCTTCAGAGACTGAGCAGTCGTGCACACAGCTTTCCTTTTTATGTCGCACTTTGTTCAAAGCCTGGCCCATCAATGCCGCCTGATGGGCCAGGCTTTGAACAAAGTGCGACATAAAAAGGAAAGCTGTGTGCACGACTGCTCAGTCTCTGAAGATGGGTAGAAGAAACGACTACCCGAAACGTCAGACCTCAAATACACCTCTCCCGGTGAACGCCTCCTCTTCTTTTGATATGCCACCCGGGAATCGCATTTTCACCACTATTGATATATATACATTTATGGAGCAGGAGTGGTATTCATTCCGTGACGATATAATGTAAGAATTTCTTCGGAAAATATCCTGTTTTACTCGTTTTGTCCTCGTTGTCCTGCAGTGGAACTAGTTCAAATCTACATTTTCCGAAGAACCTCTTCCTTTTTCATATATTTATGTGTCTGTTAAGCAGTTCACAAATGAAAGCTTACTATGATGCTTTTCTTTTCATACATGCTTTCTACCGAACTACCGAACCAACACACTAAAGTACCGTTTGTACGCTTTAGAGCGCAGGTCCTGGCGACAGTGGCGGCGGACTATTCTGTCCTTCATTGGAAGGCGGAGATTGGTTCTGGTATGGAATGATACAGGCCGGAGCAACTACGACACCGTCAGACTATGTGGTCGTCACCAAAGTCAAAGCTGTCCACGACTGGGTTAAACTGAATGCGATATCTCTGGGCTTGTAATGCGCCAGTTATGGGGGTGTTAATGTGGCTTGAATAAATATATTTTTGTCCTGCAAACGAAACTGAATGTCATAGTACGCCAAAAGCAATGTATTTCGCATTCAAGGACTGCGTCCTACATTTTATCAAATGTCTGGCGGTATCTTTCTAGCTAGACTGCTGCTGAAGTCCAGCACAACGCTTTTAAATCAGGTGAACGGGCTCTTCCGTTCTATACGACATCGAAGGGCAAATACACTCATGAGGTACTGCTGTCGAATACGAGAATAAATTTAAAGCGGTGTTTAATCATTACTGTTCTGAGCTCCAGCCGCTGACTTTAACTCAAAGGAGGAGACGATTGTCAATACATGTTAATGAATCATGCATGCTGGTACCTCCTTAAATTCAGCATTACGATTCAAAGCAGGCAGCTAAAGGCGGGAACGTCTTTCATAAGCTCAAATATTTGATTGCCTACTCAGGCTCTACAGTAAAGGCTTCATCGTCCTCCCAGTTTAAGCCTTTCTGGAGACCATCGCGATGCAAAATAAGTTCCGCACACGATGAACACTTCAAAATATGCCCGCATGAGCAATTACTCAAAATACCGATTGAGAATGATTTTTCGTGGAGACGCCCTGGATACAACATACAAAGACACGTAATTAGTAAGAACAGAGGAAGTCAATTTACCGGATACACAAACTGCTGATAAGGCCATTTTGTACACCCTGATGTGTGTTTGACGGGGCACAGTACGGAACCTGTTTAATACGAAGTAAAACTGGAGATTGCAGTTTCATATTTTGCTAATTTTTTTCACGAAATTAATAAAAAGTCGCTACGGCCGGTACGTAGGTATAAATGGCGAACCATCAACCAAAATGGTCCGTGGCTGTAAACATTATCCCATGCTGGATCTGCTGCGATTTTCCACTTCGCATCGTCGTGGTTTATGAAAGCATGTCTGCGTCGCGCGAATGGAAACTTTTAAGTGTTACTGAGTAACTGGGGTTTGAAATGTGTTCGCATAGGAGGCGGGCACCGCTCACGTAAGTGGGAAGTGTGTTTCTTGGTTCCCTGAGCTGCATGTGTACTCCGAGTCTGCGACCATCACAGTGCGCTGGCGGCTGTTGCTGGGAAGGTCGCCAACTGACGCTTCTACTCAGTCCACGCAGTCAGCCAAGTTGCGTTCTGGTGTGTTCTTGGACTGGGAGTCACCGCCGGTATTCTCAGCCACCTCAGATGTACGGCGCCCAACCCCTGTTGTGGGAAATCCTGGCCTTTGGGTTAGGGAGTCCAGGTCGTGTACGCGTAGCGCGCAGACAAGGTCACTAACTATGTCAGGATCTGCGCCCATTCCCCAAGCCAGACAACTGACCGTCCTTGCAACTATCTGCGACTTGGACATGGGACTAAAAAGTGAGGTTGACGTGTGAGCGTGTTTGCTCAATATAAACAATCTGACGCACCAGACACTACCACAGTTAGGGATAAGTTAGTATTATAGTTAGTGTTATGATTTAGCGTCATGACTGCGATAAGGGTTAAGTTGGGGATTATGATTAGGCTTCAAAAATAAACACCCTTCCTGGAATCTAGCTGTGACATTAGAAGACGGTTTCTATTTCCGGATTTTGCTGGTGTCCTTAAACCAGATAGAGAAATTCGCTTCCAACCACAAAATCAGGGCACTTCGAAATTGCTATGTTTCGCTTAGTCGTCGTCGCGAGTCACTCAACGCCTACCTCATGGTCTTCCATCTCAAATGTTAGTTTTGACACCACGTCTTGTCGTGCAGTTTTGTTCTGACCAAGACCCTTGTCTACGCGTTCTGCGCAATGACGGGCTGCTCTCGTTGACGTCATAAGTAGGTAATCTTTTTTATAATCTTCTTTATGCCAACACATTCCATGAACACTGTGTTTAAAACCTACTAATTTGTGATAGACAGTTGTGCACCGTTTGGTCCACCATGACTGTTATGTCTGAACGAGATTATGGTGCATCAGTTGGCCGTGATCACATCTTATTGAGCGTCTTTGGATGTGAAAGCAAAAAAATGACTTGTAAATTTCAATTGTATGTCGACATGCAGCACCTGTAATTAAATCAAGACTTCAGGAACACAGGGTGTGCCAGTTGATAAGCAGGTAAGTTTAAGCCGTCAATGAAATAGGCGAGCAGAGCCACGTGGAGTAGACAATTGACGCCTATGGCAAAGGGGTAGTGGTCAGCCGAAGGTCCTGTGATCAACGTGGTTGGTCAGAAGTCCAACGCCTCTGGACACTGATCCGCGGTCTCGTTGTCCTGCCGGTTGCGATCGCGAACAATGATGGCTATATTATGAGACAGACGTCGGAGCTGAAGAAGTCTAAGTACTCTTCTTCTTTTTATTCTTCTTCTTCTTCTTCCTCCTCCTCCTCCTCTTCTTCTTCTTCTTCTTCTTTATTTTTCGTCTTCTTCGTCTTCTTCATCGCTTTCTTCTTATTCATATTTTTCTCACCATGTCTGTTCAGGCTATCTTGTCCAATTTGGCCGATATCGCCCTAAGATAGAAACGCGCGTCATTCTCTCCTGCAGATCTAGACTATTTGCGTAAGCGAGAAATCAGCCAAAAGCCTTAGTTTCCTTTAAGACCTTATTAAAACATCATCATGAATAAAATCCGTAACGACGCATAGGAGACCATATGAATGTAAGCGCAAAATAAATAAGGTATCCAGTGTCGGCAGCTGAATATTTCCCTGGCCATAATGAACTCGCAATTTGCCAGTTGCGACAAATTCGACGTTGCCTTGAAAGCAGCCAGGCAGAATGGAACGTTGTGTGCTTGTCAAGCAGAGAGTGGACTCTTCTAAGAGGACCAGTAATTATCGGCTTCTGAGTATATATTGGCAGAAAAAAAAGCATGCCATTTTAAGCAGATATATCGGAGCTGACCTCTAGGAAAATGTGCACATTCCAAAAAAGTCAGCCCCTCTTGAAAGCACTTGCCTGCATTCCTCTTCCTAATAGCATGCAGCGCCTCAAGTTTTGTTGTTACCGCAGTGCCCCCGTAAAACTTTAACTGTTATAGTACGGCCAGCGACGGCACTTCTTTGGAAGATAAGTCTGGTGAGGTATCCTTCGCATCTATAACCTGTTCTCGCCTAACCTGCGCTTCCAGCCAACGACCAGCAAAGCGTGCAAAAAGCGTAACTACCGCAAACAGTGTTAGGTACGAAGACGAGCCTTGTGCTGGGTGCGCAGATATGCAAATCAAAGTAGATCAACTCGAAAAGGAGCTTGCTGATTTAAGGATGCTCGTGAAACAGACCATAGAGGACCAGAACATGTTCATTGTTAGAATCCCAAAAAACGAAGAGCAAAACGCAAAATACGCGAAAAAATATCTCCTCGGGGGCATCTTAAACACGAATTGCAACTCAGTAGCCAAAACCGCAGACGGCGGTAATAGCAGGACAAAGAAAAAGATGCCGCCAATAAGGGCAGACTCGGTTCCCATGTAAGATTTCTTAAGCAATGTCACAGAAAAATTACCTGGCACGGAAGCCATATCGCCTAAGCCTCTTGCTGTGAGTGACGGGATTTCTCTTTTGCCTGGAGATGATATACCTGTGACATCCAGTCTACCGCTGCCCTCTTGTTCCGGCAACCACCCTGAGCGCACTACAGAGCACGTATCTGAATGCGAAGTCATGAACCCATGGGTAGAGGGGAGAGGGAAACACCTCGACAGGAGTCTGAACTCACAACCAACTCTGATGGGCTGCTCGGGACAGTCGGTAAACAGCAAATGTGTGCGCCCAAGCGACGACTCCGTAAATCGTCCTCGCCCACATGCAGCGAATTCATCGGAAAGACAAAGTAAGGAGGACCATGCTCGCCAGCAGTGTCTGGTTATTCAGGGTTTGTCGGAATCGAATGCAGTCAGACCTGAAGACCGTATCTCAGAGGACCTTGATTATTTCCATGGTCTACGTAATCAGTTACTCCTGGCAGACATGGAAATAAAGGTTCTGAAGGCATTCCGGATAGGAAAAAGGAGTGAAAACAGGACAGCATCACAACCACCTCGCTCTCTCAAAATTATGCTGGAGAACAAAGAGCAAATCAAGTTGATCCTCTCGAAAAAAACTGATCTCAGAAACACACACAAACAGGTTTTTTTTCAACCGGACTACTCACCAGCGGAACGGCTGAAACGGCGGGAACTTGTCTTGGAGTTAAAATCAAGACTGAAGGGTGACGAACACAATCTGGCTATCTTCAAGGGGAAAGTAGTTCGGAAATATATGCCGTTTCAGTGGAACCAGCCTGTAATACTAAGAACGAAGGCAGCTTCTCAGCTAAGACATACACCTTCGTTGAACCACCTGCTCAAGGCGGCAACACAAGTCAGCCCGTAACGCCAGTGATTCGACAGAAACAACGGATATAAATGGAACCCATCAGGTAACGGAAGAGCCCAGAGAACCTGACGTCCGAGGCAACGCAGTAATGCTCACAACAGAAACAAATACAACCGGAAATTCGGCTGGTGCCAAACTGAAGTCCTTGTACACGAATGCCCAAAGCCTCATATCGAAAATAGACGAGCCAAAACTTTGCCTTATCGAGCTGTCTCCGGATGTTTTAGCAAAAACTGAGACTTGGCTGTCCGGGAATATTAGCGATAGCGAAGTAGCCTTGCCTGGATAACAAATTTAGCGAAGGGACAGGGAACATCGTCAGGGTCGTGGTATAGTTGTGTATGTGAATGAGGGTCTGGCAGTGTCGGAAAACACCACCAAGTTTGCGTGCGGCACGGAAGATATTTGGTTGACCATCAAGGCTACCGGTTCCCCGTGTCTCGATGTCCTCACTGTCTACCGACCACCTCGGACAGACCAAATCACCGACACTCAACCATTTGAGCAGTTGGAGAAATTTTCCAATCGACCTAACATCATGATCATGGGCGACTTCAACGCACCTGGAACAAACTAGAATACCCTCTAAGCGTCAGGTCCAAAATCGGCATTCGATTACCGTCTGCTGAACAAAACATTAAAGGCGTCCCTCACACAACATGTAATATTCCCAACGAGAACACGTGAAGGACAAAGGGCAAACTGCCTGGATCTGGTCTTTACAAAAACACCAGACAGCATAGACGAGATCACCTCCATGCCGCCCCTTGGCCGAAGTGATCAAGTAGTGCTTATGTGAGATTATTCGTTATTCTCCATTTCACATACTCCAGACCACAAAAGACGGAATGTTTGGCATGGCGACTTCAATCAGATGAGGGCGGACTTATCCGGTCTCGACTGGGGCTCACTATTTACGGGAAATACCAACGATGATTGGGAGCTGTTCAAGAATGTCCTTCTGCAGCTCATCAACAACCACTGCCCACTGACGAGTGTAAGACTGAACAAACTCCCTGGGTGGCTAAATAGGAACCTTAAGAAAGAAGTCAACGGGAAGCACAAATTGTTGAGAAAATACTGCGTCACTAGGTAAGTTGAATATTTCAACACCTACAAGACACAGAGGAACAAACTGAGGAACCTGATAATCAAGACGCGGCGGGAATTCGAAATGAACTTGTTACAAAAAGCAACGCAGAACCAAAAATTGATCTACAGCTACCTCCGGCGAAGTACAAGGAACAGGCATCAAATTCCCTTAATAAGGACTACTGATTGCGTTGAGATTGCGGATAGAAGAGATAAAGCTGCGTATTTTTCACAGTTTTTCCATTCAGTCTACACCGACGAGGCAAGGTTCCTTCCTCCCTCCACAGAAAAACTGCCGACTCCAAGCGTCAGTGATATGCTCTTCTCAGAAGGAATTGTCCGAAGGGAATTAGAGGCATTGAACGAATCGAAGTCACCAGGACCAGACGAGATTCCACCCAAGCTTTTCAAGGAGCTTGCCAGTGAGCCTTCTGCGCCTTTGTCGATGCTCTTTCAAACGTCATTTGACACTGGAACACTTCCTATCGATTGGAAGCTGGCGCGTATTAATCCGCTACACAAAAGAGGTAACAGGGCACCGACGACAAATTACAGGCCCATAAGTTTGACATGCATTCTCTGCAAAGTTATGGAAAGGATCATTAAGAGCGAACTGATGCAGTTTCTGGAAGTTAACGGCCTGCTATCGAGATGCCAACATGGGTTCCGGAAAGGAAGACCCTAATGACAAACTTGCTGCAATCTCTCCAGAGCTGGACCCGAGCTCTCGACGACAGGCACGCGGTCCACATAGCCTTCATCGACTTCCAGAAGGCGTTCGACACTGTGCCACACCAGAGGCTCTTACATAAACTTAAAAAAATAGGGGTCGGTGTCAACTTCCTTAAATGGATCGAAAACTTCCTTTTGGGTCGACACCAGGTTGTGTGCATCGGTCGGGGAAAGTCAGATCCTGCTGTGGTCGATAGTGGTGTCCCCCAGGGTTCAGAACTGGGACCAATTTTATTCCTTATATACGTGGACGATGCCGCAAGATCTTTGGACTGCGAAGTAGCAATGTTTGCCGATGACATGAAGATATGGAGTGTAGTTCGGGGTCCTGCCGACGAAGACAGACTACAGATGAACCTGAATCGGTTGGAGGAGTGGTCAAACCGTTGCCTCCTGCGGGTCAACGTTGCCAAATGTAGCATAGTTCGCCTAGGCAACACAGCCAGATCGACCAGCACAAGAGACTACTTTCTGGGCGGTGCGGGCCTACAAGAGGTCGAAGCCTAAAAGGACCTCGGTGTTCTGACGACAAGTTCTCTAAAGCCATCCGCCCATTGTTCGAGGGTCGCAAAAAACGCAATATCTGTATTGTACGCCATCAAGCGTGCGTTTATGGACTTTGACAAAAATGCTTTCTCAAAGACATTCGGAACATTCGTTCGGCCGCATTTAGAGTACGGCATACAAGCCTGGAGGCCCTGGGCTGTTGAGGATCAAAACTGCCTTGAAAGAGTCCTGAGGAGAGCCACGAAGATGGTTAGGGGTCAAAGCTCCTTTCCTTATGCAACCCGCCTAGTAAATCTGAAACTCTTTCCTTTGAATTACAGGCAACTTCGCGGGGATCTCCTGCAAGCCTTCCGCATTGTAAAGGGGTTGGATTGCAGCCTGGCCTTCGAAGACTTTTTCGAATTCGCTACCACGACCAACCTACGGGGTCACCCGTTCAAACTGCGCACTCACCAAGCAAGGCTGCATGTGCGGAAGTCCTCCTTCTCTGTTCGAGTGGTCAAACCATAAAAAGCACTTCCCGCAGATGTTGTGATCTCACCATCTTAACAAAATTTTAAAAAGAATTTGGGCATATTCATGTTCCGAAATGACGAAGAGCGATGAGAAGTGGAGCTCACCCCCTGTAACTCGTTCTCATTTTGTCCTATCACTATGGGCGTGTTTGAACTATTTCAGTCCAGAACATTTATCTGTATACCATACATTTTTTGCGTTTTAAATAGGGCACTCAAAGGCTTACGCCTATTTCCCTGAATAAACTGAATTGAACTGAACTGAACTCAAACTACAAAGTATTCTACCGTACTCAACATCGTACCATAAATTGGAGGGAAGTAATTTTATCAAATGCAGGCGCGTTCCATGAAAAATGACTCAGACGGTACGGAACAGTCTCTTAGACTAGAAAAACCAGGTGCCTTCAAAGGACAAGGACAGCTGTAGAAAGACGTCCAGTCTGGCTCTTGGAAGAACGATTCTATTAGAAGTCGCAGTTTCAGTAAAACAGTTAAAGCCCTAAAAATAGCCGAAAAGAATAGAAGCGATTTAAACTTGAGGTCGAACTCTAACGGGCTATTTTTGATGCCGAGAGAAGGACAGAGCTTTCAAGGATAGAGGTAGAGACCGATGAAGAGATGTCCAATGACGACCATCAACCCGTGGATTCCGCCGCGCATGTCTCGGGATATGTGAAACAGTGCACATTACATTAAATTTCTCCTGAAGAGAGTAATCGTTGCGAAAGTGAGAATGTTGATATGCCCAAAGCAAGTGCTAACAGCCTGTCAGCTGCCAGTTTAAAACTACCCAAGGTTGAGTTGTCCTGGTTTGACGGGAAACTAGTTCATTATTGGAAGTTTTTACGACAGTTTGAAGAGCCGGATGTGGAGAATTGGCGGGCAGTGTTGTATCCAGCTGGTCAACGCTTGCAATTCTCCACGCTCTCCTCGCAAGTGCTTTCCCATTTGGCATCTGTTATCATTCCCCTTCCCCCCTTTTGTAATCCTCTTTCGAGCGTGATCTGCGTTCTTTTAATTAAATAGTTTCGTATTCTGACCTTGAGCTGGGAATTCGATTTACTCGAAAAGTAACAAAGGAATTCTTTGTCCAGGGTATCGATTGTTGAGGTTTGTACGTATTTCATTATTACCTCTTTCTCTCAATAGTACCGTACATACACCGAAATTTATTTTAGCTAAAACGAGTAACTCAGCCAAAATATAATTGTACAGTGAATGAAAGAAAAAGCATTCGAGAAAACACTAACAGGTCGCGAGTTCGAGCCTTGGATTTTCCACACTTCTGTGTTGGGTATGACTTGCTGACTACGGTTAATAAGCCAGAAATGGCCATTCCAGTCTCATTCGTCATTGCCGGTTATAACATGTAGCCCAAAACAAATCTAAGAATTATCAGGGAAATACGTTTGCGGGTAATTCAGATAAGACGGATCTCTTTTCCGATTTCTACATGATTGCGTATATTGAGTAGAACCCCTTTTTATAGGGAAGCATACTGGTGAATTGCCTAATCAAGAAACACAGTTGGCACGGTGACACTCACGACGGACGCAGTAAGCAAAACTATGGGACTGGTACAGTCCACTAAATCAACTAGTGGGGAAGCCATACACGCAAATATCCTGCATGAACTCTCATACCAACTGGCCTTCCCGCCCTTCACGATCTTCGATAGTTCGATAGATAAAAAGATGTCTGCCTGCTTCTTGAAAGCTAGCCAACGTAACCGCTTTGCTTGGAGTTTGGTAGTACTTCGCCAAATAGCTCCAGACCAGTAAGTCTTACACACAGGGGTCGCAAATCAATTGTGAAAATAATGAAAACGGAACTGGCGAGGCAGTAAAATGGGTAATTGCGCATCAAAATGTATCTAAAAGCCGTAAGCCCTGTCTTACTAGCTTGTACACACCCATGAAGACCTTGAGAAGATTTCTAGAAATTGGTTCGTCAACAGTTCGGTATAATTTAGTATATTTACGGTTACATACAATTTAAGGGTACATGCAATATTCGGAGTTAAGAACATACGTCAGCAAACTTTTCCCAGTACCATGTACAATTTACATAATATTGTTCTTTAAATTGTGGCACTAACAACACAGAGCACTCAAGTTTGTACAATAAATATAGAATAAAGTAAAAAATAGGCGCATTAGCAATGAGTGTATGAAAAGCGTTGGTTTAATATAGCAGAGCGAATCTGTCAAGGCAATAGATATTTTTTAAACAAATATACATTGGGTCCCTCACCCACTAGCCCCCCCCCTTTCCTTCTAGCCTCCCTCCTCCCCTTCCTCCACTGTTTAACTACCAACAAGCTATTCATTTTCTAACTCCCATAGCATTCCAATGTTTGAAAACTATATACCTACATTATTAAGGTCTCAAACTCAGCCTTCACTTGCTGACTCCCCGTACGTCAATACTCTAGATTAACTGGTATTTATTCTCCAAGTGACATTAATTCACAGCTTACATATCCACCTCCAATTTTTTTTAACTACCGTCGAAAATAGCATTGCCGTTCGAAACACATTAGATATTTTATTATTGAATGCCAGGTCTGTTATAAACAAGATGGCCCAAATCAGAGCCATTGCTCTGGAAATGACGTCTGATATTATATGTGTAACAGAATCTTGGACCCATTCTCTAATTCCTGACTCTGCCCTTCTCATAGATGACTTCGATTTTTACCGCCAAGACCGCACGACTAGGCGTGGGGGTGGTTGTCTTCTTTATCTTAAATCCTACCTAAAGCTCTTTCCATATTACTTAGATGTTTCCTCATTTACGGGAAACTTCTGCTTGGCATCTGTTATTCTCTCGCCGCAAAGAAAGGCAATTATTGGCTGTATCTACAATCCCCCAAATTCCTTAGCCAGTGATGATTCTCAACTTTGTGAAATCTTTAAAGTAATTTCGGAAGCTGCTTTCGATGTAAAATTAATCACTGGGGATTTTAACCTTCCTGAAATTGACTGGGTTTCCGATAGCTGCCCACCCAGATTCCAGCCCTTTCAAGATATTGTCAATTTTCCTAATTGGTCCCGACTGGTGCGCTCTCCAACAAGAAATAATCACATTTTAGATCTAATCTTTACCAATGACATTGGTCCTCTTTCTGCTGCTTTAAAAAAGGACCTCTTTGACAGTGACCACGTATTAATTCATTGTTGCTTACCACTTCCCTTTTCAAAATAAGACAAGCGCCGTTCGGACTTACATGAAATACGACTGCGTAGATAGCGACTTAATAAATAACTATATGAGATCCTTGGATTGGTGTGGCTTCCTCACTTGTAGCAATGTAACCATTCTTCGTGATGTCATGTCCAATGTTTCCAAGGACATTCTAGTGTTTGTGCCGCGTAGATATCTCAAGCCTAATTCTTCAGATTCTTTTGTTTCTCATTTTCTTCAGAACAGACTAAAAAGTTGAGGCGACAACTGCGTGACCCATCCGCTAGTTCCTTATCAGTTCATCTTAGAATCACAGGGATACTTGAGATGGCCTCAAGGATGCGCCAAGCGCGCGACAGGCAAAGAGAATCAATTGCTCTCAGTGGTTCGACCCCTGGCAAATCCGTCGCTAACATCTTCCGTCATCGGTCCTCTTCTAAGCGTGGTCACGAACTTCCACCCCTGCTAAATGATAACAAAGTCTTCCTCACCGATGACACTGACAAGGCGGAGTTGTTTAGTGCTTTCTTTGCAAAACACCTTGATACCGAGTCCGATCCGGTTCCTTTATTTCGATCACTTTCAGATAGGACACTTAGTACAATTGATGTCTCCTCAGATCTCATTAAGAAACACATAAGCCGTTTGAAATACTCACACTGCTCACGAGCGGACGGGTTTCCGAATTCGATTAGTAAACAAGCGTCCGACCTTCCCATATTGCTCAGTCATTTATTCTCGGTTTATATCTCAAAAGGATTCTTTCCTGAAACATGGAAAACGTCCCGTTTTCAAGTCAGGATCTCGGTCGGATGTTAATAACTATCGGGGTGTGCACAAAACGCCGTCTCTAGCAAAACTTCTTGAAAGGATTATTTTCAATGAAATTCTTGACTTCTGTCTAGCTAATCGTCTTCTGAGCTCTAGTCAGCATGGATTTTTATTTGAACGATCCTGTGAAACATGTCACTTGGCTTTTCTTAATCTAATCACTTCTCTTCGTAATGAGCGGCAGTCAGTGGTAGTTATATACTTTGATCTTAGCAAAGCCTTTGACAAGGTGCCCCATAGACGTCTTTTAGTAAAATTGGAAGCTCTCGGCATCCGGCCGCCTCTACTCGACTTCATCAGGTCCTATCTGTCCAACCGATATCAGAAAGTCATGGTCGGTAATAGCTACTCGACACCCCACTCGATCACGAGTGGCGTACTTCAAGGCAAGTTCCTGGGTCCGCTACTCTTTCTTATGTACATCAATGATATTTCGACTGAACTCGGAAATTAGCAAACTTTTACTTATGCCGATAATCTTACGTGTGTTTACTCATACTCTAAGTACACCGCAAATGTTTGTGTTGAAAAAATTAATGCCGATTTACTACGCTTAAGCAGATGGGGTTCGACATTGCAGATGGAGTTTTCATCATCGAAGTGTAGTTTCATGTCTTTTGCTCCTAACAAACTTCCTAGTCCCATAATTTTTCAGAATAACCCACTCTCAGAATGCCTCACGATAAAGGACCTAGGTCTTAGTTATACAAATAAGCTTGCTTTATCACCTCATGCAGATAGAATCTCTGCCAAGGCCGCGCAGATATGTGGATTCATATCGCATAATGTTTTCCTTCCGGAAATGAAGCTCAGACTTTATCAAATGTTTGTTCTTCCAGTCCTCGAATACTGCTGTCCTTTCTTTGGTTTAATGAACGCCTGCGACCGTAATAAAATCGAAAATGTTCAGAGGGTTTTCATTTGGAAACTGTTCTCTCAAGCTTCGTCCAGTATTTCTTATACTCGGAGATGTCAGCTGCAAACATTAAGTTTTTGTAGGTTAGAAGACTGGAAGCTGGCCTTTGCTTCCTTTTTCGCATCAACTCTAGCTCCAGTCTTCCGCTCATTGACACTGTCACTCCGAGAGATCGGTCTTATGCCACGCGCAACTCCTGCATGCGCGGGCTTTTGAATTTGAGCCGCCATTTTTGTAGCTCTCTTTTCACGTGTGGATTTTTACTAATTGTACATTATTGTGCCTTTTTTCTTCGATATACTGAATTGTTTTGCATTCTTTGTTTGTCTGAGCTAAGATTATGAGGTCGTCTCTACAGTACGCTGGCGCCCATTTGAACGGATTTAAATTGTTAATTTCACTTACGAACGACCATGATGAAAATTTTTGTACTTTACGACTAATATGTCGTAGTTGCGATCGTTCTGTGTTCAATTTATCAAATATTCGTCAACAATGGCCTATGCATCGGAAAAACACCGATGTGGCTCTCAATTCGCATTCAAACGTCCGCCAAATCACAAATTGTCAATCCCTGCCTTCTTGTCGACAAACTGTCGTTCTATTTTCAACAAAGCCCATGATTTGGAGCTACTTTTGTCGAAAAAAAGAACACGGCAAAACTGAAGTTGTCTGCCTTCAAGAGACGTCGCTTAATAAGTCAGTTTAAGTCAGTTTATTAAGGGAATGAGGCTTTCGCCCTTGAGCACCCTATTCATGTCGATAAACAGAAATAAAGTCATCAATTACATCAGCAAATGCGAAAAGTTAAGAAGTTAGCGGTAAGTGTGAGCCAGGCGCAAACTACCGCCGCTAAAACAATCATGATTGTATGTACAGTAGGTTCTCAACAAGTGAGCGTCTAGTCTGCACTTAAAGGATTTAACACTTTCGGAAAGAACGACGGCATCAGGGAGTCCATTCCATGCCCCGATGACCCTGTGGGAGAAGGCGTTCCGTCGGACGTCCGAATGAGCCCGCTTCCTTTGCAGTTTGAACGGATGACCACGCAGACGGTCAGTCCGGGCCAATTCAAAGAATTCATCAAAATCTAGGGCACACGCTCCGCTTCTGACAATCCTGTAGGTTTGAATGAGATCGCCGCGCAGTTTCCTGTAATTTAGAGGAAACAGATTTAGTTCGGTCAGCCTGGTTTCGTAAGGCAAATGATGAAGATTCTTGACCACCTTCGTAGCCATCGCCTGTACTCTTTCCAGTCGTTGATAATCTTTCTTTAACCACGGTCGTCAGGCCTGGACTGCATACTCTAAGTGAGACCGGACGAATGCCCCATAGGTTTTTCCGAACAGCTCCTTGTTGATCTGCACAAATCCTCGCCTCGGCGCAAATAACACCCTTATCGCACTTTTGGCTGCCCTTTGACACTGTGAAGATGGTTTCAGCGAGGAGGTCATTAGGAGGCCGAGGTCCTTCTGTTCCACAACATTTAAAAAGGGACTGACCACCAAGGACATATTGAAAGGAATCGTCCTCCTTACTGGTCCGTCTGGTGCGGAGTCTCAGGACCACACATTTGTCCACATTAAAATTGAGGAGCCAGCGAGCTGACCAACTGTTTAGGCGGTTGAGAGCGTCTTGAAGCGCGTACCTGTCTGCATCAGATCTGATGGGTCTCCACAGCTTAACATCGTCAGCAAACATGATGGCGCTGCATCCCAGGTCGTCGACGCAGTCGTTAATGTAAACCAGGAATAGCAACGGCCCTAAGACGGAGCCCTGGGGTACACCACTTAGAACGGGAGTAGGAGTTGACCTTGAGGCCTCAATGCACACGGTTTGCGATCTCCCGGTAAGAAAATCTGTTATCCATGTCAGCAGCGTTCCTCTTATCCCAATTTCAGAAAGTTTGTAGATTAGGCGTTTGTGTGGGACGCTGTCGAACGCCTTCTTAAAGTCTGTGTATATGACATCAACCCTCCCATCCCCATTCAGTGCGCGAGTCCACTGCTGCGTCGAGAGCAATAAACTGGAAAGACACGAGCGGTTCCGTCTAAAGCCGTGCTGCAGGTCTGAGATTAAATAACCCTGCTACAGGAACTCCATAGTTGCTTTCTTAACTATGGCCTCCATTATTTTACAGCAGATGCAGGTTAGACTAACAGGCCGGTAATTGTTAGCATAAGTGCGAGCCCCGCCCTTGTATATCGGAAAGATATTTGCTGTCTTCCATTCCGATGGCAACCTCCCTAATTCGAATGACGAGCGGAAGATGTGCGCCAGTGGTTTGGAAAGTTCATTCGCCAGTTCCTTCAAGAATTTGGCCGGTATATTGTCCGGACCCGAGGACTTTGCTTCTTTGAGATTTTTCAGCTCCCTTTCCACGGCAGCTGCCGGGAAGAGTATGGAGTCAAGCACGGGACCAACAGTCTCAAGAGCATTGCCGGCACTGCGACAGCGAAACTCAGTTTCTCTAGTAAAAACGGAGGCAAAATACTGACCTAAGTGTTCGGCTTTCTCGTTGTTCTCAATGATCTCTACACCATTATCCTCCTTCAGCACCGCGACCGGGTCCTTATTTTTCAGTCTACTGTTCAGATAGTGAAATAAAATCTTAGGCTTCTGTTCAGCCTGTCGTATAATTTTGGATTCATACTCCTTCCGTGCCTGACGGATACATTTTTTGACGGCGTTTCGTTGACGACGAAATTCTTCGAAATGCGCTGGTGACGCAGTTTCCCTGAATATTTTCCATCTTTTGCTTTCCTTCCGTAGCTGCTTATTTAGGTCCCTAGTTAACCAAGCAGGTCGACTAGTTGTTTTTTAAACTTTAGGTGGACAACAGCGCCTAATCAGATCGAGTGAAATCGTTTAAAAAGATCTCCAGTCCTCCTCCGGATCTCCCCTGAATATTTGGTCCCAATTCACGGACAGCAATTCGTTCTTCGTCATATTAAAATCTGCCTTCCATATATTAGGTTGGCCCTCTGTTCTCTTCTGGCGTTTAGAGAAGAGCGAGTAATCCCATAATAGCGTGGTATGGTCACTTTTCCCGAGAGGTGCATTGGAATACACTTCGTCGAAATTAGAGAAGTCTTTAGTGAAAACTAGGTCTAGACAATTTGCTCTCTGGTTCTCTCGAAATCTTGTTGGTACCTTCACATGTTGCGCCAGAGGGAGATCGAGTGTGAGGTCCAGTAGCTTATTGCTGAAAGAGGCTGGTCCACCATTAACTGCCATAGTTTCCCACTCTATTGCAGGTGCGTTGAAATCCCCAGCAATAAGTACCTCTTGGTGGCTAGCTACGTCTTTGACTAAACCAAGGAGCGACTCATCAGCTGCACTCAGAAGATTTGGTGGTCTGTAAATCGCCAGAAATTCTAGATTTTGTGCATTGCTCTTCTTTATCTTTATCCAGACGGATTCATATTCAAGGGATAGGGTGTGGGCTCTTTCAACTGCTGAAATTCCTTCCCTTACATATACGACTACCCCTCCGCCCTGCCTATTTTGACGGTCTCTACGAAACAGCTTGTAACCCGGTATCGAAATCTCAGCATCCATTATTTCGGCATTAAGCCAAGTTTCCGTTATGGCGATGACGTCGGAGATTTGTTCCGGTACTCTCGCTTTGAGTTCGTTGATTTTCGAAACGATACTTTGAGCATTGGTATACAAAAATCTCAATTTGGCACGAGCAACTCCGGCATACTGGCGTTTATCCATTTCTTGGGATTGAATGCAAAAGCCGGTCGGAGCTGATCGGGATGAACTGCTTTCCATCACTCCTAAGCTGTTAGAGTTATGGGCTTTCTCCAGAGGAATGGCCTCTGGACGCGTATAATTTTTCCGTCCACTATTCGGAGATTTGTCTCGCCCAGACTCGACCGCCTGAGGACTTCCAATTTGAGCCCCCTCCATTTTTCTCGCTCCGCGGGTGAAAAGTCCCGCTGAAAAAAAACTGATGGATGGGCGTGTTTAAGCGCAGCTTTCCTGCTCAAAAGCAGCTGTGTTTGTTCGTCATTCTCAAAGACAATTTTTCACGGTCTCGGTCGGTCTGGATCTTGTTTTGAGTCTTTAATTTTGCCCATCCTGAAAGCCTTTAATACTGTGACTTTTTCGTCTCTTATTAAGATCGATTTGAGATATTCCTGGAATATTTCTATGTCATGTTGTATTCTGTCCTTTGAAGCGTCGGAAACAGACTCAGGCATGCCCTTTATAACGATGCATTTACTGCGATCAACTAGACGGCCTTGTGGTATAATCATACCTACAGAGTCTTCATCGCGTGCATCCCGGCTACAACCTTCCACCGATTTAGGAAGGTTTGATTCAGCAGGACTAACGCATGACTGCCTGTTTACTACGATCTTTTGATCATTTTTCGTTTTCAGCGGCGCGATTTTCGTGTGCGGCGTAGCCAACTCTTGTTCCCTCGACTGACTCTCTGTGCCTTTTTGAGGTACCCTGAGATTTCTTTTTGCTCGCTGAGATCGCGTCTGACCGCGCTTTTTTCGCACAAGACACTGTGTGTCATTCCTATCAAGCTCTAGCGACCTACTATTTTCTTTCTCCTCCGTCGACACAGCCGAGGAAGCCGTGTTTGCGTAAGTTCGCTCGCTTTCATTCTCTTTGGATGAATAGCGAGGGAGATTCCTCCACTTTAAGGCACTTTATCTCCCTCTCCATTTCCGCAAATTTTTGAAGGAGTCCGAAACATGTCGTACAGGCTTCGTCTTCGTATTTGATATCCATACAACTTACTAGGCTCCTTGCTCGTTTAGCGGGAGGTGACTTAACAGCGATATATAAAGAGTTGCAGTCATTTGTACTACGAATAATGTTTACTCCTTTACTTATTTCAGTCCGTTGGCCGTGCCCCGATAGTGTAGTGGCGATCATGCTGCTCACCGCACGACGTGACATTGATTCGCAACTTATTACTCCCCCATCCATGAACTGCTTTGGAAAAGATAGAAAATCTTTATCTTGTGGCAGAGGTGGAGGCGTCGCCATTTTTGTTAATCAAAATTGGTGTTGAGACTGTAAATCCCTTTTTCTTACTCTGATGATTTAATAGATGTAATCGCTGTTTTATGTAAGCCCCGTTTGTTAAGTAATTTTAAAGGCATCATATTTGTTAGTATTTACATTCCCCTCCTCCTGTGAAGGCGCATTAACCCGTTTTTCGACTTCCTCTCACAAAAACTTCCTATATTATCCTGCGACTATCTAGCTGACTTATGCGGTGATTTTAATCAAGTGAATTCACGTCCTCTTACATTTTTAGGCTTCGATGATCTTGTTTCCTTTAATACTCGCGCAGATGCCCCTCTTGATTATATTCTGACTAACCACAGCAATCTTTTTTGTGTAAAAAACAGGGCCCCATTTTCAGGTTCTGACCATTCCACTGTATTGTGTCTTCCAAAAATCTATTCCACTTCAAAACGTGCATTGCTGGCCAAGCCTGAGAGAAAGGTTAAGGTTCGCAACACGTCCGCCCAAAACATTCTCATGCTGCAGACTTGCATTTCTCTTACCATCCCCACTTTCCTTGAACATTCTAATGTTGAATCCTGTTCTTCCAACCTGACAGCGTTTTTAAAGGAAATTTTCGATATTTGCTGCCCTTTTGATACTGTTATGGTACGACCGGATAGAATTTCTTCCCCCCATCTGAAATCGTTAAGACGTAAGAAAGAACTCCTTTACAATCTACGCTTACGTGATAACCTTAAGGACGTTACCGTCTTAATAAAAACAGAGATTGGCAGGCTAAATAGCCTGTTTGTCAGCCAACGTTTTTCCTCTTCTTACTCCCCCCCTTTCCCCCCTTCCTCAGCTGAGATTTGGAAAAATCTTAGGCGTCTCACTGGCCATTGCAACACGCTGGTGCATGGGGATGCAGATTTAGACTCCCTAAATAAAAATTTTATATTTAGTCACAATGACTCCCATCGTCCCTTAGATGACATTCCCCTATCACCAAGTACATTACAACCCCTGTCTTTGGCAACAGTAGAGAAACACCTTAAAAAGGTCCGTGGATCAACAGCTGCCGGACCGAATGGTATCTCGCCTTTTCTTCTTAAATCTTGCCGTTCTGAGATAGCCCCTATTTTAACGCACCTAATCAATATGTCTTTCATGGAGTCCAGGATTCCCGACGCCTGGTGTACAGTGAGAATCACTCCCATCCCTAAAAAGCCTGCTAACTTTGGTCCTAAATCTTTTCGCCCAATTGCCTGCTCTTCTGCAATGCTAAAGCTTGCTGAACGAGTTGCCCTAGATATCATTAAGCCTTTTTCGTTCCGTTTTTCCGACCCCTTACAATTCGCATATAAAGCCAAACGGAGTACTTTAGATGCGGTCGCTCTTGTGGTCCACTCTGCTCTAAAAGCATTAGACAAGAGTTGCCGCGAGTATGCGTGCGCTTTTCTTGATTACTCCTCCGCCTTCAATACCGTCCCGCGCCCTCTTCTCCTTTCCAAAACATCCGTATGCGGCTCTCCGGGCTGGGTCGTCTCTTGGCTGAGCGATTATTTTACCTTCCGCACCCAATCTGTCCAATCTGGCAAGCGGAAATCGTCGACCCTTCCCAATGACTGCGGTGTTCTTCAAGGCTCCATTCTACCCCCTCACCTTTTCTCCCTCCACACTGATGGTCTCAGGTCTCCTAATGACTGTCTTCTGGTCAAGTATGCTGACGATGTGGTTGTTGGACACCCTCTCAAAAGTCAGACATACCTCCGGTCTCTAAAGGATGGCCTAAACCATATCCTAGCGTGGTCGGAGGAAAATGGTCTCCTTATTGAGAGAGAGAGAGAGAGGACTGCTTTATTTTGAAAATAACTTTCAAAACTTTCAGCAAAAACGGTTCTCCAGTACACAGTGATTACCATAGAGATTAACAGGTTTTTGGACAGACAGGTGGAAATGATTATATATGAAGAAA